AATCTATCTTATTCCTCTTCTTTACCCAAGAGCTTTGCACACTTGGCTACTCAAGACGAAACAATTTATTACACTTGAGGTACACAACGTTTCGTTGCAAGTATCCAGACATGAAATTACCATTTACTGCAACCAATAGCAGAGCTGGGTTTAAGGAAAGGAAATTGAAAAATCTCCTACTGAGAAATCTCAAAGGAATTATTTCACAATTTTCGAAACTGCTGAACCAACAATCTATAAATTATAGGTCATTGCACGGTGATGTGTCTTTCTTTATAGGCAAACTGCAGTGTTCCTTTTTCGACATCTGTAGTGTTGTGTAGGGGGTGAAAGGAGAAGACAGAGGAGAAGAAGAAAGTAAAGGAAAGAAAGAAGGAAAGAAAGTGTGAGAATAAGGAAAAATAATTTAATTTAAATCGTATTCATCCCGTCTTCTTCGGGAAGCATGAGATCATTTCCTGAACGTGGAACATTATTACAGGTTTTCGAAATCCCTTCAACTAATATGATACGATCTCGGTGCACTCTTAACGATAATGACAGAAATTGGGTGTTATTATTATTATTTGTATTATTATTGTAGCAGCTACTATGATCTCCTGCATCAGCAACAAAAGGCTCGCCATTAATATGCGTCTTTGTGAAATTCATGGTCGTTTATAAAACAGAAAACGTTCTAGTTCTTAAATCGACGAATTGAAGTTTTTAAGAAACTAACAGTTACTGAGGCAGTCAATGAACTACTGCCCATGTTTTGTGAAACACCAAAGTTTATTAGTTACTATAGGATTCTGACGATGGTGTATAACACAGAGATATTGGATTTCGGACTTTATCCATCGTCCTGGTTTTTAAGATAACTAAGAAAAACACGACGTTTCGGAAACTCGATCTGTTTCCGTCCTCAGGTGAGGGAAAACGCCTATTCTGTTGCGTCCCTTAGAAAGAGCTAGCCTCAATCACTGGTCCAGTGAATAGGTGTTTTCCCTCACCTGAGGACAGAAACAGATCCAGTTTCCGAAACGTCGTGTTTTCTTAGTTATCTTAAAAACCAGGACGATGGATAAAGTCCGAAAACCCAATATCTCTGTGTACCAAGGTTTATTGTTGTGTGTTTCCTTCAGACGATACAGTTTCGAGCAAACGAGTACAGCTGACACCTCCATACGTACAATAAACTCTCGCTAATCCAGTTACAGTTCATCCGGATGTCGGGTAGACAGGATCGAAATATGAAGAATGGAAAATTCTGTTCACAGTTGAGTACATTCTTTAAAAGACAAATGACAATTAGGAGCAAGAGGACTTTCAGACTGTGTTGAGGGCAGCTGCAGAGACCGAAACCAAGCAGGAAAATATTCAAGATTGGATTCAGCTGGCTGGAGGAGAGCCTGGATTTCAGCTTCCGACAGAGGAAGAAATTGCTGCAGCGATATTTTCTTATCTATTTTCACCAGCACAATCTGTAAAAAAAAAGAAGTATTCCCTGTGCTTAACTAATTAAGCACTACGCCATGAAGACGTATGGGGGAGTGGATGTATAGATCCACATTTTCTTAACCTCGGAATTTGTTGGAAGTGAGTGGTGAGCTTCACACCACATCCGCTTTTCTTCCAGGGAAAGTACCCTCGGTACCCACTGGATAGAAGGTTTGGGTGGACCCCAGAGCCGGTCTGGACTACCTGTTTTAATACATTTTCTTTTTATTTATTTTCTAAGTTTTTTTGTGTTTTAGGGCTATTTTCTGCTTCATTAATCCAGATTAGAGAGGTTTTGCTGTATTTACATGAAGTTGCACGCGAAAACTACCCACTACTACTTCTTAACTTAATTGCAAACTCTCTCCTGTTGTACAGACTACCGATAATATTAATGAAAGTAATTATGTGGGTTATGAAAAATATGAGCTGCATTAATTACTCACTCATGGAGCTGAGCCCTTCTGGAGGAGCCGCCAATTCTACAACTACTCAAGAATTTACGAGCATTTTATGGAACCTAAAATTTAATTACCGTGTTCACAAGAGCCCTCCACTGGTTCCTATCCTGAGCCAGATAAATCCAATCCTTACCATTCCATTCTGTCTCTCTAAGAGCTATTTTAATATTATCCACCCACCTACACCTTGATCTCCCCATTGGTCTATTTCCTTCTGGCTTTCCCACCAATATCCTACATGCATTCCTCGTTTCCCCCACTCGTGCTACATGCCCTGCCCACCTCATCCTCCTTGACTTGATCATTCTAATTATACTTGGAGAAGAGTACAAGTTATGAATCTCCTCATTATGCAGTTTTCTCCAACCTCCTATTACTTCATCCCTCTTCCGTCCAAATATTCTCCTCAAAACCCTGTTCTCAGACACCCTCAGTCTATGTTCCTCCCTTGTCGGAGAAAAAGTTTCAATTTAGGCCCCACATATTAAGAGTTAGTTCTCAGTTACGTCAAGGCCTGACAGTGTCCGGATACTGTAGAGAGGTGAGTGACACAGTTGCCAATGTTTACATATTGAGAAACGCTCTTTTATCCAAACTCATCTCAGCATAGAATTGCTTGTAACGATCCGAGATGTTTTCCATGGTGTAAGTAATTAAATAACAACTCATCAACTCATTTATCACCGTTGTCATTAGCGTCATAGTTAATGACAATTTAAGCAGAGTGAACGTCAAAATAACTTGGTGTTATACAGTTAAAATATTTCAATGTCCCGACTTGGAAGTTCGTGGTTGCTATGGTTTACAGGAGTTTCCGTATTAAGCAGGAGGTTAGCGCTCCGAGTGTTCTTTCTGTTAGACTCCTGTAGGCTGTGTGGAGTCCGTTTGCCCGTACATCCATCGCCTGAAACTCGATCATCGCTAAGTGGTAAAGTGAACATATTAGTGTTACTGCGTATACAGGAAGTTGAACGTAAACAGACGTAAGCAAATAAAGAGGGATAAGTCGCTGGAGGAATGCAGAACGGATGCAAGGAAGAACAGACGTCCTTTCCTTTGCAGCTCTTCATGTCTTCAACCCGCTGAATTCTGACATTGCCCTCTACATCGTTTGACTTTTAATGTGCCATTTTTCTGATGCTAGCCTAGTCCAATCACAGAGGCTAATCTCAAGGAATATTGCGTGTAAACTGTGATGTCACTCGAAGTCATATGTAATCGCTCAGCATGGCCCGCTATTTTAGTAAGTAATATTAATTAGTGATTAACGTGCATTCTTTTGGGCTGTTTAGGTCACTTCTTGTTGGAAACGCCGGAAATGTCGGTCGTTTTCCTTAGACTTTTTTTTGTGAAGTTTCAAGACCTCGGCTTTCCTTTCACAACTTGAGAGTTGATAGGTTCCTACAGTCATTAATTTCTTGAGCTGTACTTTCGGGATTATCAAGCAAGGGCCTGTCTCTCGTGCCGTTGAGGGCTTAAGGTAGAGATTTCCCTGAGAAAGGTAGCTGTTTGGGAAGTGTAAAAATGTTGAGACCTCGTTGTTTCCGAAATGAGTCAACGGATGCTCTCGAGGGAGACATCTTGTGACGGAAGCTGGGGGTCCTAAGGCATCTACCATCTTAGAACGAGCCATTTCTTCACAGAGTCCGTTCCTCAGTATTTTCATGTGACAGGACGCAGAACCTGCGCCCTTCGGAATTGCTAAGTTAACAACTACTTAACTATTCCGCCAACTGGGATACATTACTTAGTATGATCAGTGTCAACCACGACAATTTATTTAGCCATTATTACTTAATGGAGGTACATCACATTATTAAAGTGAATTCCTGTAAACATAAGTGTAATTATCAATACCAGTATATATTTGTTATGTAATGAAATCTGTCTCTGAGGTACGTCTTTGCGATCATGGTGTGTGCAACCAGGTTATTTCTGTCCTGTTAAGATCTAGAGACGAGATATCCTGTCATACCGAAGCCAGCTAAGGCTAGTCATCACCCTGTCTGACCTTACCCGAAGGACTGTACAAAATTGTAGCTACCAGACAAGTGTCTACTGGCGCCTATCCCTCCTTCTGCTTTCCCAGCCTCTCACTATGACAGCCGTGAGAAAAATGAGGTGAAATGAGGCAAGGGCGACAACCCAGACACAGGAAACATAGGCAACAACATCCGAGGAAGGTGGTAGCTGCATCCAGCGCCTATGGACTGCAGCGGCGGCGGCTACATTAGAAACACTAATGCCTTAGGTGTACTCACCACCATTATCGTCACTGAAATCGATTTGCGCAGGTCAAAAGGGCGTCAGTAAAAGTTGCTTTCTCTGTGTTCGATGCTGATTTAATAATCATTCTATTTAGAAGAATAAATAAATAAGGAAACCATGACTTTACCTAACGAGAAGAGCTGTGGTTTATAAAGACCGCCTAGTATTATCAGAGAAGTGAAATCCAGGAGGCCACGATGAGGTGGGAATGATCGTAGGATACAAGAACTGCATGCAGAATTTTGAAAGAAAAATTATGTTAAGAAAATTATTAAATTTAGTAAGGTTTGAGACTGTCATATCTAGGAAGACTGCTGTCTTCCGGAATATAATTTCGTGCAATTTAGTGATAGGTACCAACGTTTCAAATAAACCTTCTGTCTCCATCTTCAGGTTTTCACATTGAGAAACAATAATAACTAACAAAGTAGGGTTTTCTTCACAATTGTTATTGCAGTTGGTAAAATTAAATAAAAATTAATATTGACACTTTCGTTAATATTTTATGTTATTTTATCGAGTTTATTAACAAATTTTTGTGTACACACCCACATTGTGCCTTGATACCTTCACACAGTAAGATGCAAAACAATAAAACTGAAAACAGGGGCCACAACAATGTTTGTGCATCCATGGTAGCGCATAAGACAGGGAAGAGCCCATAGAAGCTGCAAAGGGTAAGGGAGAGATAGACAGTGGTGCGGGGCGGGGAGGATGGGAAAATATGTACGAGGGCCCAGGCAGCACTGTGCTACTGGCAGAACAGTGTCTGCTGCCTGGCTGTACCCGGTCCGTTTGCTTTAGTTGCTCTGTCACGGCGCATCAAGGTGGCAGTGTTCTGCGCGCGCTCTTTCGCTCATTTTGTTTTGGCAGTCAGCAAGTGCATGGCTGGTTCATTAAGTGCGGGCTGGCGAGTACGTATATGGGTCAGTGTTTCAGTTGTGTTTCGTTAATTGTTGAAGGACAGATCAGTGATTTTATTTTACAGAGGTGATCTCCGAAATCACAGAACGGTAATGACTATGTATACTCGTAGTTGCTTTTTTAGATACAGATATATTTGGTTTAATGATAGTTTATTTTAAATTGTATAGACAAATTTATTTTATGGCTCGCTCTTAGAAATCTAAGTTAAATAGAATTAATCGCATTAACTAAAGTGAAATCCCATATTGTGGAGGTAGTAAGTTAGTTTTTATGCTGGTTGTAGTAGGGGTTGTGGAAACGAGTCCTTGCTAGTCCATGTGTGCTATATGTGTGTTTATCATCACTGAATATTGTACTCAGAGTGTTGTTTTCACAACTTTACGTTTGAGGGTGGTTTCTGCTATGAACTAACGCCCCATGAAAATCAAGTGTGGTTTACATATCCCGAGAAATAATTATAAATTATGAGGAAATGTTTTATTAGACTAAAATAATTTCAAGTGATAGTTATATTGACGCCTGTGAAAAAGGTTATTTTGAATTACATAATTATAGCATAAAATATGTTGCATTTATGTATATACAAAATAATGTAACGGTGAGATCAGAGCTCTGAAATAAAGCGACTTCGGTTTCCATAGCAACGAATTGTGGAGTGTTAACACGTTGCATGAGCGAAAGTTAATTAGGAAGTCATGAACGAGCGAGCAGTACCCTGTTTCAGTGTGTCTTGTCTGCTCTGATAGTATTGATATTATATTCTGATGCAGATACGCGAAGCGTAGTATACTATATTAAGCAGACCGTTTACTACTGTTTGTTTATTATTCGTGGGAGATGGCGTTAAACGCCGACTTCAACGCATCGTTCGATAACATGTACAACTGTAAAGGAATAAGGGAGAAATCGGGTGAAGTTAATGGTACGAAAGCTTGTATAACAAACGAAGAGAGGCCGTGCCATATATAGGGAGGTTAGTCACCGGCTACCAACAGCGGCGGCCCTGGTTCAAGCCCAGGATAGGTCATGTGGTATTTATGGTGGATGAAGTGACACTGGGGCAGATTTTCTCCGAGTTCTTCGGTTTTCCTTGCCAGTTCTTATTCCACTGACTGCTCCACACTCATCTATCATCCGGGGTTGGTACGATAGGTCAGTTAGTGGCCCACGTACGAAGTGGGTTCACTTTCACCCCACCCCAAGAAACTAAAAAATAAAATGATGGGACTTCCTGTTGTATTCACAAGGGATGCCAGCGCTCGTGTTTATATTTTAATATATTTTAATAATTTTAAAATTACCAGCTTCCAGACAGCATCTGAAACGATATTAAAAATGACGGAAACAATATATAATAAAGTGTTTAACTCGAACGCTGCTAGATTATTCATGTAAATTTATCGCCCTTACTGAGTTCAGGTTTTCACAGCGACTCCATTGTTCATGTTGATTTAGCTCTACGGCCTTTGCACGTTGTGGCTTTTTCAGTATTTTCCACGTTTCGGAGGTACATGCAGCCTCCCCATCTTCAGGGTCAAAGTGAGAGGGGCGAATGACCATGGTATCGGCATGTGCATAAGGAAACAACACCGGAGACTTCCACAAGATGCGAACACCAAAGAAAACAATCTGTTTCAGTTTATCGTCTGTTGATTGCTAATGTTAAGAAACTGTGAAGTGACGCAAGACAAGTGATGAATTTGTTTGTTAAGTGAATGTGTAGTGAATCTGTTTTATCGACTTTTAAAATTGAGTGAAGTTCATATATGCAGAAGACTTAGTCATATGAAAACAAACTTCAGTAAAAAGATCTCAAAACAGTGGGATTTACAGTGAGTAAAAAAAAAGATTCATTGCCTCTGTCAAGTTACTTTTTCATCGTTTACTAAATAGATGCGGCTGTAACAAAATATTTACATTTTCGGTAAGGAGAGCCCCAAATAAACAAACAAAAAGTCCTCTCTCAATATTTGAGATATACTGACATATATTCACCGGGGTAAATGACGCTCCAAATAGCTGTGGGGGGGTAGAGGGAGCGGTTTTATATAGGGCCTATAGTCCACACTTCCCACTCAAAAGAACTTTTCAAAGGAAACATCAGCGGTGACTGAAAAGGGAGTTGAAACGCTTCCACGAGATAATGTATACTTCCGCGACCTTCCTGTCGTGAGCTTAGCCTACAAATCGACTGCAGCTACATGTAATTACAGTTTGAATAACTACACGTCACTTGTATCAGCTGAATGAGATGGGAATAATGCAATGATTTCTTTGTTTACATTATATTGTAGATAGAGCCAATATATTTCGATTTGAAGCCACGGATTTTAATTATCGTTTGAAGGTTACTCTCGTGTGGAATATGACGCCATATAATTTTTTACACGTGTACCAATATTTATCACAATTTCGGTGGAACGTATATACTCAATTTCAGCGAAAACAGAAAATACCCTAAAGATGATGGTAGTAAGCAGTACGAAACATTGGTATCTGTCTACCAAGGTACACTGTGGTCGCGCCATAGCTCAAGCGGTTAGTCGCTGGCTTCCCACCTCGGCGGCCCGGTTTCGATCCCGGGTCTGGTCAAGTGGGATTTGTGATGGACAAAGTGGCGCTGGGGCGGGTTTTCTCCGAGTATTTCGGTTTCCCCTGCCAATCTTCATTCCACAAAATTCTCCAGCATCATAATCACCCGGAGCAGGCTACAATAGTCCAATCAATGGCCGCCGAGCCGAATGGACACAGTTGGACTCCACCCCCCACTAAGCGAAGCTACACTATGTCTTTTCGCGGAAAAGAAGTGATTTTCATACTTACTGTCTCCTGGGATGACACTTCTTATAGTTTGTTAGATATACAGGATGTTCCAGGAGGAAAGGTCAGTATTCTTGGAGGTTATGTTATCGCTCATTCTAAGCAAAAATAAAGCATATGTACATGTGTACTCTTCCGAACCGTTTCCGAGATATGGCTGTTTCGCTGTACAGACGAGCAACACGACAAAAATTTCAAAGTGCAGCGATGCTGATGTTGGAGTTTTCGAAAATGTATTATACTGGGTAAACTGTACGAACTTTGTCACTTGAACAGTAAATAGCGGCATTAGAAACAGTACGTGATATCTCTTTCTTATGAACAGTTTTGGAACTGAAATAGCTCTATCTCGGAAACCTTTCGGAATAGGACACGTGTAAATATATATTTTTTATTTAGAATGATCAATACTGTTTCCTCCAAGAATATTGAATATACCAGGATTTCGTAATACTTACTACCTTCATCTTCATGGAAGACGTAGAATGCGTCCTGTATATGGAGGTAGCGGGTACTACGAAACGTCCGTATCTGTCAACTAAGCTACATGGTGTCCCAACAGAGAAGACAATGTCCATAGTTACCGTCATGAAAGACTCAGATCTCCAGTAAGCATTTTGCCCATTGCTTGAAGTCAGGCAAATATCTTCGCTGCAGTAGGCATCCATGTGTGCCTAATGCACAATGCCAAGTTGCGAAACGCTAGCAGAGGTTTTCTGTAAGTCATTATCCAGTTTCCGTTGTACGGTAGGTAGTTGTGAGCTGATAAGGAACCTACAGTGCTGTTTCTTCGAGTTACACAGTATTTTTTATTGCCAGTGAGGTGGGACTAAGTCCCTTGTACTGCGGCCACTTCTGGCGTATTGTATCAGCCCCAGATGATAGGTGAGGGTGATTGTGGAGCAATTGGTGGAATGAAGATTGGCAAGGGTAACCGAAGTACTCGGAGAAAACCTGCCCCAGCGCCACTTTGTCCACCAAAAATCCCACTTGACCAGACCCGGGCTCGAATCCGGGCCGCCGCGACGGGAAGCCAGCGACTAACCGCTTGAGCTATGGCTCGGCCTACAACAGTGATGTATATGGGATTCGGGGCTCTCGCGTTCGTGATTATGAAAAGTTCTATCTTGTAGGATATGACACCATGTAGTCCGTTGAAAGTCATCTGACTTTTCGAAGGGGCATAGCGCCTCCATCTTCAGGGTCTAAGAATAAGCCGAGAGCAAAGAAAGACAGCGAAAGCATGTGGCAAGTAGAGCAACTATTTGACCCTTGAGAGGGAGGATGTATGTTTCTCCGAAACGTCGGTTGATTTTAAACTGACTGCACAGCGTTATATCCAGGAGATAGTACGCTTCAAATGATATATAGACTATAATACTGAAAAATCAAGTACTTGTTACCTAGAAGATTAGTCCAACAGTAACACTGTCCTCTTGCATTTGGAAGGTAAAAAAGTAAAGCTATCCCTGTAACAGGTTGTGGAGGTTGTGAGACGTCGAGGCTTCCACATTTTCTAGGCAGTCAGCTCACAGATGGCGTTGAGGTTGTCAGCCTTACGCGCCGGCCGCCATTTACCCCCAGGAAAATTCTGGTACTCATTTCTGTTAAAGGCTGAGTCGACCCAATGGCCATAATACGACTGGAAGGATTAGGTCAATTGAAAAATCCAGTGACCTTGTCAGGAGTCGAACCCGCAAATTTCCGCTTTGTAGCATAGTGCCTCAATCAACTACACTACCGCGTGTCCCTTTTATACCAAGATACTAAACTAAGTGATGTCTCTGTCTGGAGGTACATCACAAAATTCTCTTGGCCGAGTTGTGACACTGCAGTACCTTCCTGTCCCGTATTGGTGCTCATATTCGCAACTCTGGTACTCATTTCTGTTAAAGGCTGAGTCGACCCAATGGCCATAATACGACTGGAAGGATTAGGTCAATTGAAAAATCCAGTGACCTTGTCAGGAGTCGAACCCGCAAATTTCCGCTTTGTAGCATAGTGCCTCAATCAACTACACTACCGCGTGTCCCTTTTATACCAAGATACTAAACTAAGTGATGTCTCTGTCTGGAGGTACATCACAAAATTCTCTTGGCCGAGTTGTGACACTGCAGTACCTTCCTGTCCCGTATTGGTGCTCATATTCGCAACTACTTGCTAACATACGTAACGACAAACAACGGCAGTACAAGCTTCAGTATTACATGAATCTGAGGCCTCATCAGCATAATCAGGTTCCCAACTTGGGGCCGCGTGAGGAATGTGAATTGCCAGAAAACGTTTGCTTGCAAAGAAACTAAGTAATTTCTTTAGCCTAAAATATATCTAAGGTCCTCCAGGTTGGGGGTTGGGCGTGAGGCTACCAACCTCATCCTGTAAAAATAATTGTGTTCAGAAATCTAAGAACCAGCCTCAGGTCATTATACATGGGTTCATTCCTATGGCAGCACGCGTTGGTTGTGGAGACTGGTTGTAGAGGAGACCAAGGCTCACCCAGGGCTGTAGCGCTGAGTGTTTGGTAGGTAGGTACCTACTTACATACTTATGGAACTGAGCCCTTCTTGAGGAGAAGCGAAATCTGCAGCTACTCAAAAATCTCCCAGCATTTTATGGAACCCCAAGGTTCATTACCGTGGTCACAAGAACCCATCAGTGGTCCCTATCCTGAGCCAGGTCAATCCAATCCAACCCATCATATCTCTCTAAGATTCATGTTAATATTGTCCATCAACCTATGCCTTGATCTTCCCAGTGGTCTCTTTCCTTCTGGCTTTCCCACCAATATCCTATATACATTTTTGTTCTCCCCCATTCGTCCTACATGCCCTGCCCACCTCATCCTCCTTGACTTGATCATTCTAATTATACTTGGAGAAAGATACAATTTATGAAGCTCCTCATTATGCAGTTTTCTCCAACTTCCTGTCACTTCATCTCAATTCGGTCCAAATATTCTCCTCAACACCCTCAGTCTGTGTTCCGATGTTCAGGAATTGAAACGTACATTAAGTATGTTTGATTAGACAATTTGATTCGACGGATATAATGACGATCCAAGTATGTAAGCCTACATAAGGGCAGATAAATGTATGCAGTAATAAAACTGGATAAATTCGTACAGTGACTAAAATAATGTTTGTTGGATCTGAGGGCCCAACGTTTGTGCCTATGAAGACTGAGCACGGAGGTGTAAGTCCTGTGTTATTACGGCGTATCGATTGTTTTTTTAAGAGTCAAGATGCAAGGGTTGTTGACCAGTTTACCGACATCAATAAAATCCGTGGGTTTAGCGCAGGTTAACACTCTAAAGTCTGAAATCCATTTACATAACATTTAAAAAATTCAGTTGTCTTACAGAAAATACATTGAATCTTCACTACGAACACAATTCGGTTAATAATTTTTAGGGAAATAATCACTGTTTATTGCGAGAGTCATAAGAAACCCACAGATACACTGTATGGGCCGAATGCAGAGTTTGATTAATGTTCAAGTAGGTGATACGTTCGATAAAACTGGGCTTTTAAAGAGTTACGACTATTGCAATCCGTAATAATACCATGCACGTTTTCTGTAGGTAAACAGGAAGCTGGGTTGTTATAAAGATAAGCCTGCTAAGATCACCTCCATGTTCACGAAATTACAGCGGAAATGTGGAAATTGAGATTAAGTCCTTTTTTTTTTATACTGCAAGGTGACATGATGGTGACATAAAGCCAGTCATACCGGAATATATGCCTTGTAGTTAACATTAATACTTGATACAACGTACCAGATACTGTATCGCATGGAAACCGGTTCTCTGGACACATGTGTCTCGACTGCAGCACTGAAAGCATATCTGTCAAACCACAGGCTGAAGTTTCCAGCTGTCGTCTTGACTTCTTAGCCTTCATGAGAGTATATACGAGGAAAGTACCATAGAATTACATTGAAAATCGTAGCACACTCGAATCATTTTAAAATTTAATATATACAAGTAATAATTTTGCCTATGATTCTGTATGGG